TCAAAGCAGAGGAACTACTGAGAAGCTGTCTCCTCCTCCTCCCACTTTCTCTTCCTTTTTCTTTTTCTCTTAACTCCATACTCAGTTCCTTAAAGCCCACTCGTGTTAAGTTCTTTTGGTAAGGGCTTTCTTCTTTGGAGTCCTGTAACCACAAAGTTGGGAGCCTCTGATTATGGGGTAGAGCTGACCGATTTTTCAGAATATAGGCAGTAGGAATTTTCAAATGCAGAACTCGTCCTCAGGGAGGCTGACACCAAGAGGGGATGAAAGCTGCAAGGATTTGAATCAGGAGAAACTCTGATGTGAGAGAAAATGGAGAAGGAGCCGGAGAAGACAGCGAGAGTGTCGGACTGCAATGCAAACACGGCCTCGGGTGAATGAGAGACGGAGGAAGGGCTGGGTGACCGTCCTACACTGCCGAGTGCTCCCAGGCAGTGAGAGCAGGGCTGCTGAGAGTCTGGGAGTGTCTGGGAGTCCAAGCGGCCATCAGGGGGGTTCCCTATCTCCCAGGATGGGTGTGCCTTACCATTCCTGACCACACTCAGTCACTGGTGCTCAAGCAGCCCTGGGGGCATAGACTCTGCAAACAAGGAGCTGGATTTCAGGGTATGGCTGGAGCCTTTGGTCCATCATGCTTCCTGAAGGTAAGGGTCTGCAAGCTGCTCTTACACAACAGGGGCTGTCTTATCTGACCTCTTCCTATGCCATGTACTGGATAACTCCTGCTCCCAACTCTCTGTAAAACAGACTGCCCATCTGACAGTGCCCTCAACACTCCTGGCTGGACCACTGGGTTCCTTAAATGACCTACTGCCAGTTACATTAACTTAAGGAGCTTCAACTATAATTGTTCTTTAATTAAAAATTAAGATAGTACAAACAAAAAAACAACAACAAAGAAGCACACAGACCGGGCAAGTCAACATTTTGAAATGTTTACAATTTACAATGTCGTTTTTGAGCTGTGGCCATCCTCTTACTGATGGCAACAAGAAACAACACCTGAAACCAAGACCTGCTTTTGTTTTCCTCGCCTGCATGCTAAAACCACAAGTGATTCTACTTCATTTCATTTTGTGTTCCTGGCACACAAGTTGCCTATCGCAGCAGCTCTCATCATCAAGCCACAGTCTTTCGGAAGAGTGTTTATAAGTGTCCATCAGTCTCTTGCCAGGCACGAGAAAAGAGCTGGAGTAGAACAGAATCTTACACAACTCTGCACCCCTGCTCTCCCACAGCCTCGAGCTGAGTTATTTTCAAGAAAAAGCCTTATTCGGATTTGACAGACTTTATGGAGTGCTTTTGATGGCCTGCACCATCTGATGACTTTGCCAACTCCGATGACTTTGGAGACTAGATGGGTCCTGGGAAAAGTCAGTGGGCTGGTGGGGACTAGCCCCAGGCACAGGTACAGCCGCCCCCCACCCCAGCTAATGTCGCTGTGCAGGAGTGCAGGCTCAGGGTAGCCAAATCCTCTTGATTTTTCAAGGCAAGGGAAGATCTGGGGTTTTGTGTGAAATCTTCCAGTTTTTCAATGTTGGCCAGGCCCTTGACATTTTTAAAAGACTCTGTGAGCCAAACAAAACACATCTTTTTGCCAGATTTTGCCTGTTGTGACCCTTGGACTGAATACTCTATTCACTGCTTTTAAGATACGGTTCCTCCAAGATGGTCTTGAGCAGATCCTGGGCTTTTGGTTGAGCTTTCTGGAAGCAGACTTCACCCTGAGGATTTCCACAGGAGTGATTTACGAAGGACGTGTCCCAGGGCTGCCCAGGGAAGGAGTGGGGGAGGCAGAACAGGGAAGGGGGCTAATGGAGAGTGGTTTCAGACAAGGCCTTGTTGAGGGCGAGCCCCTGAGTGTAAATGGCCCTCCAGAGATTTGGGAAGTGGGCTTTCATATTCGTGCGCCCACGTCATTGGCTGAGGGTCCCGGCAGGCAAAAGTGGGCTGCGGTAGCTCCAGCAAAGAGATGCAGGTGCTGGCTGTTGCCCAGGCTGGGAGCCCAACAGCCGCGGGCCCAGGGACCCCAGCACATCCCACTACTGACGGCTGCGCCTCCGCCCAGCCCACTGGGTAATAAGGAGCTCAGGTAGAGCCACAATTTGAACACTGATCTTCCGACTCCGGTCCAGTCCCGGGCTTGTTGACACTTCTTCCAGCGGCTTATTAAAGGGATCAGTTTGCGGAGTTCAGATTATCTTAGACCCTGAACTACTTAGCACGTTGTTCCCCGATTCCTAGCTCGTCTCTTCCTGTTGGGTTGTGTGTGGGGAGGATGGCCTGGCTCTTCGGAGAAGACAGGGGCAGGTGGATAGAAACCAGTCCTGACAGGGCTCCTGCCAGCCTGGGGGCTCCCAGCGCTAAGGGCTCCTCTCTAAATTTTGTGGTTTCATATCTGAGATGTGAGCGGTGTCTGGGGTGCTCTGCACCCCAGTGCTGAGTTCTGGGCTTGGGAGGCACGTCTTGCGTGATTCAAACCTAGAGAGTCCTGTTTCCTTTGGAGAGTTTAAAACTATTCATGTGTTTAATTTAAAGATGTGCCCTCCAAACTCCAGCCAGTTCCCCTTGAAGGGACTCCATCGGAGGCAAGGAGGAAGGCAGGAGGGGCTCCACCATCTGCTAGCCAGACATGTTTGGAGTTGGAGGCACCCAGAGGAAAAAGATAATGGTTTTGCTTTTTTTATTTTTTTTTTTACTGAATTCACCACACTGGCTGACACAGCCCTTGCCCTGTGCCCTCTGCTGTGGTTAATGCCTTGCTCCTCCTTCCAAATCTCTGGGTTAGTCAGGACAGCTTCCTTGCCCTCACCTCTTGAATGCCGTCCTGAAATCAAGCCAAGTCTTGCTCCCCCATCATTCAAATCCATCTTGTGTTTTCCACTCCCACCACCTCTGCCTTCCCTTAAGCCCTTCCTATTTGTGAGGCGCAAAGCAAACAGGTCTTCTCAGGCCCTTCTCACCGTCCAAGTCCAACATCTTCTTCCAAAAATAGACTTGAGCAAGTTGGTCCTGTACTCACACACCTTGGACAACTTACCCAGCCAAGCAGATCATTACGGTCGTCCAAAGGGCATTTTCCCTCCAGCCAGTCTTTTCAGCCATGCCTCCCCATCTCCCAACTCTGTTCCTCTTCCCCAAGGCACTCACTCCACCTGGTGTGACCCTCTTCCTCCTACCACCTGTTCATCTGTCAGAATCTTGGCATTTACTGCCTGGGCGACCTTGAACTTGGCACTGCACCCTCAAAGCCTCAGATTCCCCCTCAAGAAAACGAGAGTGGCAAAGGTCTAGCTTGGGTGGGGTGCCAGAGGATGATAGGGGAAAATGATACAAGTCAGTTGGACAGCAGGTGCCGTGTTGTAGGCACTCAGTGACGGACAGCATTGTCATCATGATCATCCTCACTCTTGTCCCTTTCCAAGGCCCAGCTCAGTTCCCGCCTTTCTCCCAGAGCTTCCCCAGAACTGCCCACACCAGATTCACGCCTTCTTTCCTACCCTTTCGTGTTGGCCCGATGCTGTATTTGATCATCTGGTGAGGAGAACCCAGGTCCTCTCTTGCTGCATTAGATTGAGTTTCTCCAGAGCCCTGGCCCACGTGACATTCCTGTTAGAGGTGCTCAGTGTGCTTTCAAAAAGGCAAAGGACAAATCTGCAATTCTCAGTTGAGCTCACTTTTGTTGAGTTGAGATCATTTCTGGATACAGCTGTGCAGGGCCTCAGGCTGCAAGGCTCGATTAGATGTAGGGAGCTTCTGAGGCAAAGATGACGAGTGAAGCTTTAGGATCCTGAGTGCCGCCTCACCCTCACCACGAGCAGCACAGGCCAGGTCTTCTGGGCAATTTCTACGGTCCGTGGACCAGGAGCATTTGAATGTTATTAGTTTCCCAGGGCTGCTGTAACAAGTTACCACAAACTCAGTGGCTTCAAACAACAGAGATTTATTCTGGCATCGTTGTGGAGGCCAGAAGTCTAAAGTGGAGGTGCTGGTTCCTCCTGGTTTATCTGAGGGAAAATCTGCTCCAGGCCTCTTTCCCAGCTTCTGACAGCTGCTGACAATTCTTGGCGTCCCGTGGCTCGTAGACGCACCACTCAGATCTCTGCCTCTGTCTTCACGTTGCCTTCTTCTCTCTGTGGCTCTGTGCCCTCTCTTCTCTTACAGGAATAATGGTCACTGGATTTAGCGATGATCTCATCTTGAGATCTGTAATTACATCTGCAAAGACGCTTTTCCCCCAGTACGATCACCTTCCCAGGTTCCAGGGATTGGAGTTGAACATGTCATTTTTGGAGACCACTGTTGAGCCCGCTCCCCTTGAGAACAGAGTTTAACTGTAATGGATTGCACATGGTGTGGCTGCCAAGCATATCCAAGTTCAAATCCCTCTTTGGCCCATGCTGTGGACCTATTCCTCCACTTCTCTAAGTCTCGGCTTCCTTTTCTATAAAACAGGGACAATGATGTCTAACACAGAGGTTGTGAGGATTACTTAAGAATGTATACATCTGGCACATAGTAGACTCACAATACAGCTCTTGTCTATAGTGATTCCCACGTAGACAATCATTCATCTGGTACAACTTTTAATCTCGGGACATCAAGCTGTAAGAGACATATCGTGTGGCCCTTGGTCATGCTAGCACTTAGAAGTAGTTCAGTGTTTGTTGAATGAATAAACAAATGATCAGATCTGAAGCCTATCAGAAGAGCTTGCTCTGTTCCAAGCACTGGAAGAGGTATTGGCAAGTCTCTTAGTCCTGCTTTCTGCCCACAGGATGAACGATGAGGCCAGACCTTTAAAGGATGCTCATTTAGGAGGGCTACTGAAGTCCTTAAAGAATATTGCCGCATTATCCTTCTGCTTCAGTGGCCTGCATAGGTGGTCATGAGAGTGGGTTCCATGGGGAATTCATGTCACGAGGCAACATGGAGTGTTCCAACTAAACAGTCTTAAAAAGTGGAAAACTCAGATGCCTTTAGGGACCAAGCAGGTAACAGTCTGGGTGGGGACCCCAGGAGAGTGCATGTCTTATTTAAAGAAGGCATTCATTCACCCACGTATCCAGTACCTTCTATGTCTCCCACGTGCCCTGCACTGTTCTTGGTGCTGAAGCCACAGGATTGAACAAGGTGAAGGTCTGTCCTCAGGGAGTTTCTGTTCTCTGAACCCAGCTCCTCTCTCCAGCCTCAGGGAGTTCAGGCCTGTTACTGCCAGATAGTCTGCTTTTTAAAGAGAAGAAGCCAGGATTTTATGTCGAATCTCCTGATCTTTAAATGTTGGCAAACACTGTGCATTTTTAAAAAAAGAACGCCGTGCAGACCAGACAGAACCTCTCTTGACTCAACTTGGCCTTCAGGCTGCCAATCTGTGACCCTTGGAGTGGAATTTCACGACCTTTACTGGAGGAAGCGTTTTCTCAGTGTCTGATTTTCAGCTCGTTCTCCTTTCCCTTGACCTCACTGGGCATCGCTTTGGTTACTGCCTGTTGTTTGTGTCCTCCTGGATCGAGTGGCTCTTCGGTGTTTCAGCCCTGTGTTTCCAGGTGAGCTAACCCCCACCTATCAGCTTGTGCTTCCTAATTCCGTCTCTAAATCTTTACTTTTCTGAGTGCTGTTAAGCTTCCAGAAAGGCTCTCAGCGATGTCGTCTGGCCCTGAGCCTTTTCTTCTCTGGAGGGTCAGAGCGAGCCCAGTCTCTTCACTGAGCTGCTTGTGGGTGCGTCTGTCTCCCTTTCTGACTCTGCCATTCCAATTTTCACAGCCTCGGAGTTGCATTCGTTCCCAACCTTAGGTGTGATATTAATTTCTCTCAGAGGGACATGGGTTTAATAGATTTTTTTAATTAACATTTTGTAAAATGGGAGCTGTCATGCTTTATGGCAGACTGATACAAATGTCTATAATTACATTTTTGGCACTCCGTCTTGGGACTAGGCTAGAAATGTTTGTTTTAACCCCTTCCTAGAATGTCTGATTTATGTGCAGGCCTCTCTAGACACACCTCTAACGGGCCCAGTTGTCATGGCAACCCAGAACATCATTTGTCAAAGAGCTATAACTTCATTCTGTGTTGAAGCTAAAAATTTATCTTTTAGGATTTATTCTCATGACAGGGAAATTTTATATTTTCATAGATCTGCTGCTCCTCCCTGATTCTGCTTGTCTTTAGAGAGATCCGGGCTTCAGGGAAGGATTTTCTAGAGAATCTGACAAATTTCTCGCCTTCCATCCTCCCCTCCAACCAGATGAATTCTCTTATCCATTCCAAAGAGAACTCAAAGGTACTCATTGGTAACCCCTCATAATAAAAGGAGTAGTGTTCTCCTTGTTATCTCTAACTCAGTATGATTTTTGTTTCTTTAAAAAAAGAAATGAAAATTTTTTATTGGTTGATTCTGAGGGGAGCTAGTAAAGTTCACAGAAAGGGAAGGAAGAAAATATCTGCCGATCTCTTCTACAAGCTAGTGAAGAGTAAGGTGTTAAGTAACATTTACCTGTATCACCTGTGCTTCAGGGATTGTGCACCCAATACCTATTGTAGGGTCCAGGCAAATACACGAATCAGTGCAGTGGGCTCTGGCCACATCACACACCTTGTCCAAAGGGTATCACTTCTTCATTTCTGCTGACAGAATGTGGGCTGTTCTGCAGGATTGTCCATTTCATTTCAGTTTTTAAAAAAGAAAAGCCAGAAATTGCAATATTTTTACATGAAATCTCATTTTAAATCTGATTTTAAAATGTCAGCAGACCACCCATGGATTTTTGTTAAACCATGTAATAGTCAAACAAAGCACATCCAAGGGCAAGTTTGCGCCACGGGCTCCCGGATGCCCCTCCTGCCCTGTGCTGTGCTACCCAGCATTTAGAATGGCAGGGTTTCTTCCAGATTGAACAGCTAATCCAGTCTTGCTCTCAAGTTCTTCCTGGGATCTGATTTGTTAAATAGTCTTTTTGTTGGTCTCATGGGAGGTAAGGTTCTGCCCACTTACACCCTGGGTGGCTGTCGGCTCCAGATCGAGTGTGAGGGGAAGCTGTGATGGAGGATGGGTCTCAAAGACCAGCCCACGCTCCTCCTTGACGTGGATGGTGGATGGTGGGGTCCATCAGACGCCTTCTAGGATTGTTCATGGATTTATGATGCTCTCTTTTTGCCTCTGATGGATGAGGCAGTTTAATCCTCTTCTCTAAGCTCCCTATTTTTCTTTTGTACAGGGAACTCTTAGATGGCTATTGCCTTTCCACAAGAGAGAACAAGGATTTTTTTTTCCTCATGGAATTTGAAGGTGATTTGTTTCTCATCTATCAATAGGGGAAAACACTAGTCATTCCTGGGACTATGTCATCAAAAACATCTGAGGGCAGAGCTGCTCTGGGCTGTCACTGCTCCAGACTAGGAGTGTTTTAGGGGCCCCCACCCTCATCACCAAGCCCGCTTGTGGTTGGACTTAAGGCGTTATGGGATTCATGTAAATGACGCTGAATTTGGAAACTCACAGGAGCTCTGGCAGTACGAGTGGGTTAGGAGACACTTTGTGCCATTCCGACCCCACAGTTGTCTGTTTTTCCCACCTTTCCCGAGCCCCTTCCGGGCTGCCTTTCACACTCTCTGGACTCAAGCCTTCCTGAGACAGAATCCTTGCCAGTCCCCAGTTACCTTCACGCTCTGTGTACAGTGTCCTGTGCATGGAAGTCTCTGCACCACCTTGTCTCATCTAAACCAGGCAGGGTTTATGGAGTCTATGAAAATTTAAATGCTGGCCGTGCTGGTTAGAAGTGTGATGGAAACAATCCCCAAACAAGTGGCTCTTAGAAGCTGGCACAAGCTGGGGTGCCTTATTCCTCCCTTTCTCCCTCTCATGCTTTACTGAGCAGCCTGAGGGTTTGTGTGTATATGTGTTGCTTTGTTTTCCTCTTTCTTTGAACTGTTCTTAGCCTACGAGAGATCATGTTATTAATATGAAAGGTTATTGCACAGATGTGCTCTTACCCTATTTCAGGTAGGAGCAGTTTAACCTCTAAAACTTTTCTCAACATCACATAATTTTTTGAGATTTCTATACAATGAATGAACTAATTCTGATGGCCATATTCTATGTTTATATCCTTTCCCAAGGGATTTTAAAAGTTATACTAGGATTGTGTTTTTCAAAAACATTTATAAATTACAAAGAAAGAGGTAAAAGTATAATCTTGCCATCCAGAAATATTTTCCTTTTTTTTCAGTGCCTTTCTGTATATATAATTGTTACATGATTGAAATAATGCTGTACAGCTGACCCTTGAACAATGTGGGGATCAGGTGCACCGACCCTCTGTGCTGATGAAAATTGTACTCTGTTTAGCCAGCCCTCTGTGTCTGCAGTTCCACATGCCCGGATTCAGCCAACCATGGTTTGTGCGGTGCTGTAGTATTTACTATTATAAAAACTTTGCATATGAGTGGACCCAGGCTGAAGAGTCAACTCCATATAAATATTTTTTATTTCATAATGTATATACTGAGTATATTGGAAAGGTTTCTTCATGGAAATAACATTTCTCATAAATAACATTTTTCATGGCTTCATAATATTTCACCCTGTAAGTAAACCATAATATTTTTATCATTTCCCAGTATTGGGCATTTGATTAATTTCCAATGTCTTCATTAAAAATAACACTGTAAATGGGCATCTTTGTGCATAAACCCTTTTTCATATCTCTGTCACTCTTTTCCCGTTAGGGTTGATTTCCAGACAGAACATTGCTAAATCATGAGATTTTAATATTTTTAAGACCTTCAGAATACTTACTTTCTGGAAACATTGGCTAATTTGCAGTCATACTAAAGATGTGTAAGATGCTCATCTCGCACCCCCTTGTTAGTGTTGTTTTGTTGGTTTTTTCCCCCAATCTTTGTTTTAGTGTTTATATGCTGTTTTGTATACACGTCTACCTGTGGTTGAGTATGGGTGTGTTTGTGTGATCACCACCAATAAAAAGAACAATGTGTCTAATCTCCTGGGGCCAAGAGAGACAACATACTAGGGGCGGTACTTCACGTGTCTTGTGTATAACAACTCCTGCAATCCTCATAACTCTCCTCCGAGGTAGGACAGTAGTGTAGATACGACTCGTGTTAGATACTACTGTTATTCCCATTTTTTAGAGTTGGAGGCTGAGGCCCAAGGAGGCTCCACTGACTTACCTGTGGTCATGGAACTAATAAGCATCACAGCTGGAATTCAATGAGCTCTGTCTCCAGAGTCTGCACTCAGCTGCTCCTGGAGAGATTTCCACTACTGTTGAAAGGGTAGGGCCTCGGCCAGGTGGCAGATTGTGTGGTCATCACAGGCGCTCACAGGATGGAAGTAAACTTAGATTCTCACAGGTCTTGTCTCTGTGAATGGGAGAGGAGGGGTAGGTCCAGGCTGAAAGTAAGATGAACCTCTAAGAAAACAAGATATTTTAGCTCAAATAGGAAGGTCTTTTACAGTCTTGGAAAACAAAATTTGTAAAGTATGCTTCATGGTAAGATCCATATCAACTCCAGAAGATCCAGAAGTTGCATTTGTGGTTGTGTCCGGAAAACATAAAAAGAGATGTAAGCATTTTCCTTTCATGCCGATCTTCAGAATTTAATGAACCTTGATACTCCTGTATCCTCTTGTTACCTCTGTTCCTCTTCCTTTCACTTAAAACCCAGGGGTTTTCATGGATTCTAAGTTACAGGCTTGAGATGCTGTGTTAACAATCGCAATTTCTTTCAGTACACAAGCATCTGACATCCACCCAATGATGCTGGGCATCTTAAAGGAATACAGAGATATGAGGCATAGCTTCAAGAGGTTTATAATCTCACAGGGAATTTTAAGTTTACAAACATTGCACAATACAATAAGATACTATTAAAGAGGTTTTAAGAACTCTGGAGATATGGTGAACAGAAAGACACAATTTCTTGCTTTATGGAGGTCAGAAGGAGGATTTATGGGGAGGCTGGCATTTCTGCTGGCTTCTGATGGAGGTGAGGGGAACCTGGGGGAACACATCAGGACGGGGGAGACGCAGGAGCAGCAAAAGGCCCAGCTGTATCACAGGATCAGATACTGATCCTCCATGTGGTAAAAACCTCACACTGTGGTCCATGGCTCTGGTTTCATGGAAGGGTGTGGGGAATTGGCCCCACTCCTTGGTTTTCTTGTTAGGACCATAAAGTGATATGAGTGACTGTTCCAGCCCACCACCTGAGCGGCTCCTCCAACAGCGGTGTGCAGCAAAACCAGCCTGTTAAAGTGCCTTCTCGCAGCACGGCATTGGTTTGGGGTGGGGAGGAATCTGCAGGTTTAAAACGCTCCCCGCGGGGTTCTGATGGCACACTAAAGCCTGAGAGAGTTTTGTGAGGCGGTCCTCTACTCAGACTGCGCATTAGGATCCCTGGAGGGCTTTTAAAAATACTTCTGCCTGGGACTCACACCTAGATTAAGTCGATGTAGAATTGGGGAGGGGGAGGGGTCTAGGTACCAGCTGATTCTAAGTGAAGCTTGTGCTTTTAGTGCTTTACATGAAAAAAAAAAAAAAAAGAAAGGAAGGAAGGAATTATCACTCCTGTAGATAGTAAAGTGAATGTCCAATCCATTTCTTACTCTTGGATTTTGGGAATGTGTGTGTGTGTGTGTGTGTGTGTGTGTGTG